AAAAAAAAAGAGAGCCAATTATTTAAAGCTCTAGATACAACTGTGATAACTAAAAAAAGAAGTGAAGTTAGTGAAAGTTAAGTTAGACTGCGTGATTGTTAGTTTAGCCATAATGAGTGATATTTTAAAGTGGGTTTCACAGTTCAACAGAGATAAGGAAAATAATTTGTCTTGTCAAAGGGTGTTCTAATGCAATTGAACCCATCTGTGTGAACTTTGACGAAAAGGAGATAATTATTTAAAGCTCTGGATACAACTGTGGTAACCCACAGGGTAATGTAAATGAACTTATCACAGATTGTATAGTAAGAAACAGAGTAAAGAAAAATAATTTGTCTTGTCAAATGAATTCTAAAGTAACCGAATCAGCCTGTGTGGACTTTTGACAAAAGAATTGTTTAGTGTTAGATACAACTGTCATATCTTATATAGTTTTGAATATATTATTTTAAAACAAGTGGAATGTGTGCTGTCCATTTATAGTTAAAATTTATCACCAATAAGTCACAGACACCTACAGTAAAAGAATCCCAGCCCATAATCAAATTCTGACAATTCATATTTGAAAGGATTAATGATTTTTTAAATTCATTCTTTACTTTGCACTGCTCAACCAGCTTTCATAAAGTTAGTGAGAACAAACAACATTTTGCCAGAGGTTAAGACCAACTCTGCTGATGTTAACATTATATCCCCGCAGGCACCTATTGATGTGTGTGTCGATGTAATTAATCAAAGATAAAGAATGTGAAAGGAAAATAAAACATTAAAAATAAACTAAGAGGAAAGATAAAGACATAAAATTATGCCTCTGACCCAAAGAAGATATTGTAAGATTATTCAATGAAGAGATAAAACATTTTAAATATTTCATTGCACTGAACATTGATGATAATAGCTAGTTAGTGGTGCTATAAAGAAATTGGCAAATAAAATATAAACATTTACCTTAAAAAAAAAACCTTTGATATTTATTTAGGAGTTTCTAGAGATTATGCAAGTGAAATGTGACAATAATATTTTTATACTTAAGATGAAAATAACCTACGGGTAAAACTAAGATAAAAAATAGTATTCTTTTACTTAAGCTGAAAATAACCTACAGGTAAAACTGTAAGATAAAAAATTGTATTCTTTTACTTAAGATGAAAATAAACTCACAGGTAAAACTGTTAGATAAAAGACAGTATTTTTTATATTTAAGATGAAAATAATCGTGCAGAAACATAGTGCAAATAACTACATTAAATAACGAATTTTTAGTAGAAATAGCAGAAAAAAATCAAAATTGAATATTTCATTTTTCTGAAACTACATACTTTAAAGAAATTTTTTGCTAAATTTCAAACAATTAGCTCCACTAGTTTCATTTTTTGAAAGAAATTCCTGAGTTATGTAACCTACTAGCAATCCTCATATATCATCTTAATAGGGTTAATGTGAGAAATAAATGTCAGCTTACAATCGAAGATAAGTCCCAAGAACTTTGTATCAGCCATCATGAGAAGAACATCACTACTGAGACAGAGCTCAGGATCAGGGTGCAAACCCTGCTGGTGGTAAAAATGCATGCAATCAATTTTAGAGTAGGAGAAGGTGAAACAAGATGGCCAAAGACCAACAGAAGGTTTGATCTGAAAAAGCTTGTTATGACATTTCTCCCCCCAAGTCGACTGCCAACTGGCACAAAGCCATGCCTCGAAGACAGGCACGGGACAGGCACGGCCATGACGGCACCAGAGCAGACAGACTTAGCTGAGGTGCCAGAGTTCGTTCCCGCGAATACCGATGGGGTCAGGTATCCAGAAAAATTGAATGGAAACAGAAGCTAGAGAAAAATGGGCCAGTTGTTGTTGAATATCGATGAGAACAGGGTGAGAACTAACATTAAGTGATTCCAGGGCCAGGAGAGAGCTAAGAGAATCAGTGTAAATAGTACAATCACTGTACTGCATAGCTTCTACATGATCCAGGGCAAGAGAAATAGCATACAACTCGGCAGTGAACACAGAAACTATAGAGAGGATCCTGCAAGCAACTATCGAGCCACAGCAAACCATGGCGGAGCCTACAGAGTCACCCGATTTCGAACCATCCGTATAAATAGGAAAAGAAGAATGGCTCAAAAGATGTTCAGCAAAAAGAAGACGGTACTTCCAATCGAGAGTATCCACCTTCCTCAGATGACTCAAGGAAAGATCAAAGGAAGGGATAATAATAAGCCATGGTGGAATGGGCTGATCATGACAGCAATGTCACCCAATGTCAGACACAATTGAGCCAGTTGTGCCCAGATACAAAGGCCAAAGGGAGGACCATCTGTTCTCAAAGAGCATGGCCTACTGAGGAAGAAAGACACAATCCCAGGTGGGATGCCATGGTAAGGATTGAAGCTTGTTTTTGAACTTCGTGCAAAGCTACACGAGGGCTATCTGCGCTAGCTGTCCCTAATTTAGCAGTGTAAGGCTAGAGGGAAGGCAGCTAGTCATCACCACCCACCGCCAACTCTTGGGCTACTCTTTTACCAATGAATAGTGGGATTGACCGTCACATTATAATGCCCCCATGGCTGAAAGGGCGAGCATGTTTGGTGTGACAGGGATTCGACCCGCGACCCTCAGATTTCGAGTCGAGTGCCTTAACCACCTGGCCATGCCGGGCCAAACAACAGAGGTAAAAAGGAGGTTCGTGGGACTCAGTGTACAAACTCTGGACGAGAGAAGTGGAAAAAGCCCCGGTGCAGAGCCGAAGCCCTAGATGGTGAATGGGGTCCAGCATCTTCAAGGCCGAGGTCTTGGCAGAACCATAGACCAAAGACCCATAGTCCAGTTTGGATCAAGTCAGGGCACGATAGATTCTGAGCATAGAACATTGATCCACTACCCAAGAGCTGGAAGAGAGAACACAGAGGATGTTCAGATTCCTTGCACACTTGACACGTAGCTGCTTGATGTACAGAAAGAAGCTAAGCTTGGTCAAAGATAAACCCCAAGAACTTTGCCTCGGGGACCACACGAATAACTATATTGCTGAGACGGGTGGACACTCTATTGGCGACAAAAATGCATGAAAAAATGTAAAACCGTTTGCACTGGTCCATGTCAGCAAGTCTGATGCTGCTGCTCAATAAACCTCATGTTTGACGACTGACATTAGATGTGGAAGTCATCGACATACAGCCCATTTGCAACAGTTGAAGAAAGATGAGTAGTAATAGCATTAATTTTAACACTAAAAAGTGTAACACTCAAGACACAGCCCTGAGGGACTCCAAGTACCTGTGAAAAGGAACGGGAAAGAGTTGAACCCACATGAACTTGCAATCGGCTGTTCAGTAAAAAATTCTGAATAAAAATGGGTAAATGGCCATGCAACCCATAGGAGTGGAGGTCCTGCAAAATGCCATACCTCCACGTAGTGTCATAAACCTTCTCGAGATCAAAGAATACAGAAACAAGGTGTTCTCTCTTGAGGAAGGCTTCCTTGATTGATGTTTCAAGTCGAATCAGATGGTCCACAGTGGAGCGCTGTCAAGGGAACCCACACTGGGTGGGCGAGAGGAGCGTGTTCAATTCAAGGAATCAAACAAGACGAGCATTAACCATCCTCTCTAGGACCTTAGAAAAACAACTAGTCAAAGCGATGGAATGATAATTAGAAGAAATCTTGGGATCCTTCCCAGGTTTAGAGAAATGGAGAACAATAGCCTGGCGCCAAGCATCAGCAAAAATAATGCTCCTGCCAGATCCGGTTAAATATAACTGGAGAGCAAGATGGAAAGGGGATGGGAAGCATACCTCCCAGTGACTTTCCAAATCTTGTCCCATACAGTTTTGGAACTGGTGGTAGAAGAGATGCTAGTAGTGAACTTAATCCAAGACTCCCTTCGGCTTTGACGTTGACATGCCGAGCATGGGCACAGGCCCGCTGATAAACAATGCAGTTAGAAAGATAGGGATACCATTGGAAGTTATTCCAGGCCCATTTTTGAGTCTTCCCTGCCTCCTGGCAGGCAGGACTCCACCATGGACAAGGATACCATGGAAAACATATCGAGGTCTAAGGAATAAAATGAGCAGCTGCCTGGACAATACAGACAGTCACTGCAAGCACACAGTCGTCTATTGATGGCAGACAGACAAAGGCAGGATCAAGTTCAGAAAGAGAGGTGAAAGATGGCCAGTCAGCCTGGTTCAACTTCCACTGTGGCACTCTGGTCGGGTGGAATCGACCATGGCCAAACTCACTCATAATTATAGGAAAATGATCACTGCCCTGTGGGTCACTGTCGACCATCCAAGAAAAGTTAGTGAAAAGTGAAGGGGAGCAAATCGAAAGATCAATGGCAGTAAAAGACTGACTAAGTGCACGAAAATAAGTATATGCTCCAGTATTGAAGAGAGAAAGGTTGTGATCCGAGAGCATACCCGTGTACAGGAATTCAAGGCCAAAGTGGTGTGTTGCAGTGGCCCAGACACCACTCAACCACCTGGATCCTCTCCTCCCCTTCACGGGTTGCCACACATGGCAAACACGTGGGTGGATGTTTACATCCAAGAGGAAGTTAATTGAAAATACAGAGCCTTCCTTGGGAGGTCCCCTCACCATGTACAGGAATCCACCTCAAGGGGTTTTGTAAGGGTATAGATAAGTCTGATGATGCAGTAAACACGTCTAAACAAGTTGAATGTATGAGACTGTTTCCAGTCTCATCAGGATTTTTTTCCTTTATCCGGTACAGTAAGTTATTTAGCATTTTATTGTATTTTCGAGACTGAAAATAGGCTCATTTATAGAATTGTGTACAATAAATCATTGTTTACTGAATATCTGAATTTTTAACTTTGTTGCTACAGTTAGTAATAAATGAGAAAATTAAACATTCTGATGCTTCTACGTAAAAATATAAGGAGAACCTTTTTTTTTTAGTGGTTTGGTCCCTAGGACTTAAAACTAAGACAGTATTTGTGCTAGCAGCACTTGAATTATGCTGAACCTACCTTCTGAATGAGTGGTTTATCATTTTCAGCATCCTTCACAGTCCCTGACTGATCACAATTTGATTCTTTATGAGTAAATGTGGAAGTTTGTGGTTGCAATTCATGATGATATACTTCTGAAGAATTTCCTTTTTCAGAAAAACATAGTTTCGTGGAGGCCTGAATAGGTAATTTTACACCATCTACATTTTGGAATATTTCAAGTCCTGGATTAATCCTCTGAAGATTGTCAAATAACGTTTTCATATCTGGTGAAAAACTTGAAGCAGTCTCTTGATGCACATCTGAATGCAATAGAAAATCAGTGAAAGAACACGAGGTTTCTACCAATGGAGCATGACTTACATTGAAGTCCTGTTGTAAGCTCTTGAGTGCCAAATTTTGACTGGATGTGCTACCACCAAATTGTACAGGGTTGATTGCTTTTGTTGTCATAGTGATAGCTTTCTTTTTCTGAGGAAATGTTTTGTTTCTGATTGAAGAGCCATGTTCATCACTAGTAGTTAAAGCCGATGAAATATTTGGTGCTATAGTTTCATTATTTTGTATCATTTGACTTAAAACAGTGGAAGATAAATCTTGATTCACTGGGTAACTTTTTGGATAAATCCTCTTTTTCAGTTTTTTTATTGTCTCTGAAAGGCTCATTAAACTTCCTTTGTATTTATTCTTAGGCCTAATGGATCCAATTTTATGAATATGTTTTATTCCATTTTGTTTAATCACAGGATTATTTGCACAAGTTGAAATGTTTGTTGTATCTTGTGCCATGGCAACATCTGCGGAATCTGTTAAGTTAGATTTCAAATTTATCCCTTCAACCCTCACATCATTTGTACCAACATGAGACAAAGTTGTTATTACGTCTGGTACAAGTTTTTCATTCTTAGTACTCAAGTTTAGGGCACTAGATAGTTGGACAGAATTCATTTCATTTTCTTCTGTTTCAGTGCTAAACCCCATCACATCAGCTGGTTTTGGAAAAACTATTCCACCATTACTTACTTCAGTAAGATGATGTTCTGAATCATATGAATTAATGTACATTATTTTACTTGAATCTGTTTTAACCCCATGAATTGTCTTCGTATTCAATTTTAAGGCATAACCTAATTCAGATGGTAATATGCCCCCAACTCCAGTAGTTGGAATCTGAGCTTTTTGTTCAGATCTTAATAACTGTGACTGAAAAGTAAGAAGTTTAGTTGACAACATTCTTGCTGGTGTATACTTAACTTTAGGAGGACTTTTCATAGTGATACCAGGTTCTGTTAAATTTAGTTTGGTAGTCTTTGCTCTTGGTTTTTTCTTAGTCATTTTATGATCAGAAGTTTCGTCAGGATCTTTCTGGTTTGCTTCTTTGTTAATATCCTCCACTACCTTTTTCTTTCTTCTTGGCTTCTTTTTTGTTTTTTGGATTTCTTCATCCACATTGTATTCTTCAGTATCAGAATTAAGCCTGAATCGCTCAGTTGGAGATATATCTTGTATTTCATTATTATCATTTTCCTTCTTTGATTTTTTCTCCTTACGACTCACACCAGAGATAGGATGTCTTTTAGACACAGCAGCTGTTGCCATTTCTCCTGACTTCCCTTTTAGTTTTGCATCCCTAATTAGTGTGAAAAAAACTTTAATACATATAATACCAAAGCTACTGAAAGGTAAGCTGTCAAAAATTCATTTCAATTCTCTCCAACACAGCATATTGTTTCACTGGAACTACACTAAGCTGTATCACGAGTGTTTAATTAAATGGTCTTACGTACTTTATAAATGACTGAATTACACTATATTCTTTGTCTCTTCTCTAAATTTCTAAAGATGAAACCAAGAGTATTTGAGCTAATCTATTAATCCAGTTCCATTTTGATACTTATTTTATTTTTCATTAATTGATAGAAACCATAAAAAGAAAATATAGATAATTAATTAGAATTAATTTTATTATTATTCAGCAAAACTAAATTAGCTAATGACCTGACAGAAAAAAAAACACTTTTATTTGCAACAGATTTCAATGGTGCAACATATTTCAAAATGTTCAAAGAAAGTAATATTATTTAGGTCACATGCAAATAAGTGAATGTTTTTCAAATATTGAATAAGGCTAACTGTACATTTTAAACTTTTACCAATTTTAAAGATAAGAATAGTTTTCTTGCAAAGGTTTATCAACTCTATCAATAAACAAACCAGTAAAATGAGATTCCTTTAACTGAACATGCAAGGAATTAGAGAAATAATTTTGACTATAATTCCAAACTTATTAAATGGAACTAAATGAAATCTGGCAAGCTTTTAGTATAATCTACAAGTGTCTTGTACACAAAAACTAGATGTTACAAAACTATTTATACTGAACATATATCTGTGATTTCATGACATCAGTCTGACTCAGATTCTGATGAGTCAGAGTGGAAGGTGATGTTCTCATAAGGAACAAAAATACTTTTGTCCATCTTAACAATTTGCATATTGCATTTGCATAAATTCTAGAACCTTGAAAATGCATATCTAGTTTTTTTTACAGTAACTCTGAATACTGAATCTGATTTTTTCTATCCTTTACCAAGAACAGTCACTAAATTAGAAATGAGGGTAAAATGAAAAGTTGATAACTCTGACACCAAATACATAATACCATGTTGAATATCACATGTAAAAGGTTGTGGCATGCATACTCCTTCCCCTGAGCACTCAGGGTTAAAGACTCAAACAACAAATTCAATAATCACACAATTATTAGAAATTTTTAACTTTTCTGGTTAAAGGTAAGAAAAAAACTTTTACCTTCTAGCTGCAACAGCAAGCTCATATTTTGATGGAGGAGGAGCAGCATAGACTCGACCAGGATCTTCGGGGTGACAACCCATATCCTTTCCTTCCTTCCATAATTTATATCTATCTGGTTGAAATTTGCGTACAAACACATCCATGCTGATTTTCACATTATCCTTTCTACATGAACACTAGAAATAAAACAAGTTTTATTTAACCTACGTATTCATCAGACTGTGCAAAATCGTATAAAAAATATCCTTTTCAAGTTTATGAGCTAACTGTTAAAAATTACAACAAACTTTCTATATTTTAAAAAAGGATTTGTAAACAACAAAAAATGTTATCTTAACCTTTTCCACCTAGTATCATGCTTTTTACAAGGACATATGAAAATATTAACTAATTAAAAATTCTGTCTGATCTCACCCCTCATACCACTTACAAAATAAAACCAGAACTGAAATGTTAGATTTAGTATTTTATTTTCATATAAATTTTATTAATATTTGCTTCTGATACTGTATTAAAAATACTCAAACTGCTAATCCTATTATTGAAATGTCTAAATTTCCCACCTGCATGGATAAAACTTGTCCACATATGAAATCAAAGCTCCAAATCTGTGGTATTTGCACATATACATGTTTCTTACTTATTTCTAGCTCAAATAATTTTAAAACAGTGAAGTTTTGAAGTCAATGATGTCAAAAATTGTAAAATTCAACTAACTGCACATTTTGTTTTATAACTTCCAAACCTCTAAAACTAACAAAATTATAAATATATTGTTTGAAAGCTAGGAATACTTTCCTTCTCACAGTATAATTGCCACAGAACTCTCTCTGTCTTCTTTTTTTTTTCTGTAAATTTCTAAATTTTGTGTTTTTCTCATCAGAAGACTCTTTGGTCTCATATGTTCAATTAATCTAACTATGTCACTGTTTTATTTTGTATGCTATGTAAAGGGAACAAAATTATGCTGGTTCCCCATCTTGTTTATTTTGATGAAGTAATTTCTTTGGCAGTTTCTTTCTACTTTACAAAAATTCCAACTAGTAATTTAAAATCAATGAATGTTACAGTGAATGTTACCCTACTATTAACTTAGACTAAGATAATATTTAAAAGGAGTACAGCAGCAAACTTTTGAATTTTATATTTTTTTTAAGAATTAAAATAAATTTTAAACAGGTACTTATCTCTGAAATACTGAAAGCCTTTCCCTTGTTGAGTTTGAACTCATGCTGTCAACAAAACATGCAATTAAAAATTTCCAAATGTCTGTTACACATTACAGAGTATGCATCATTTACTCGTGATTCCCCCCTCTCCCACATAATTGCCAAAATGTCAGAGGATCTTACACAAGCTCTGCTTTCCCACAATTAATTTAGCTTTCATTAAAATTTGCAGTCATGATGAAATTTCTGTTCATTTTAATTCTAAAACAGTAAAACTCAAGTCAGGTAGACTTACCTCTGAAATATTAAAAGTCAGAATATTCATACTGTAAAGTAGGTGAGAACCAATGAACGTTGAAGAAACAAAAAAATATAAAATTAGAAGCTATAGACAGGAAGATAATGATGATATAGACTGTAAGAAATAGGCAGCCAAGCAGAGTCAAAGTAGAATACAGAACCAGAAAATAAATTGCAGAATTGGATTTAAAGGAGAAAAGGTGGAACAGACCTGTCTTATAAAAAAAAACTGGAAGGTTAGAGAGTGAAGAATTATGGGTAAGTAACATGCTCTGCAATGAGTAAAGGAAATTTGGAAATTTTAAGTTACTTTTTATTAGCAGCACGAGTCCAAGCTCAACAATGAAAAGCTTTCAGTATTTCAGAGTTAAGACTACCTGATCTGAAAAAATGACATATTAACATAAATCATATTTATTTATATTAGTTTTAACAATATAGAATATATTTAATTGCAAAATGTATTTCAACAAAGTAGCCTTGTGCATCATCATCATTACATTTATGATTATATTTGCCTTTCAAAAAAATGTATGTTTATTGGAATGAAGCTAGTGTGACTGTGAAAAGACAAAATTGGTCTAAATGTTTAATACAAACTTCTTTTTATGGAACAATTACTTATTTTGTGAAATGAATAAGTACAAAAAGAGTAATACCAATAAATCTTGACAGTCTATAGAACAAGTATGTATATGTGAAATTTGGCTTTTATGTCAACAGTAATAAAAGTTTCTGTGTGTTTTGTTATAGAAAAGCCACATTGAGCTATCTGCTTTATCCATCGAGGGGAATCAAACCCTTGATTTTAGCATTGTAACTCTGATGACTTACCGCTGTTCCACTGGGGGACAGTAATAAAAGAACATTGCATAACTACATAATATATTACTATGCAGTTTTTATTTCATTATAAATTATAAAGGAAGACTGTTCAGATCAGTGATCAAAAGTCATTATCAGAGTTAATATTCAAGTAGCAGTTTATTGAAATAAATACAAAAAAGTCAGTGGGGTCAGCAGAAAAAAAAAGACAAATATTTACAATTTGTCTGGAGAGTATGCAATAATAAAGTGGTCATTCATTGTAACCTTTATGACCTCAAAGGTATCCCCCAAATGAAAGAAATTCATTTCATGCATTATAAAACAAAGCCAATATATGTGAAACACTTATTACAATTGACCTCTTATACCACATTCACAGCAATATATGATTTTGTCTCATTACACTCGTACAGGTTTCTTGAACTTTGAACCCATATTTCAAACCTTCCTCAGCTTGTATTGCTCAGACACCTTAAAATATTATGAAGTATTGTATGAGGATTTTTGTTGTTAAAAACTAGGAAATTCTGGAATTTATCTTTTTTCAGCAGTACGTGCATTTTCATTTCAGATATAATACTCTAAAAAAGTGACTTTTTATTATTTTATTTACATATGAAAATATTTTTTGTACACAAAAGCACCTTTTCTGGACAAAATGAAAATGAAAGACATTTTGTTTCTGTTGACTTCATTTACATGAAATTGCCATAAAAAAAATTCAATTCTGTCTAGGTATTTCAATGGGATTCTACTTGAATACTAAGTGTATTTGGTACCCTGGAGGGTCAAATCTCATGCGTCCCAACAAATTCTTGTGCATAAGGGACCTGCGAGTTCAGATTAACTAGAACCATGATATTGTTTTATTTTGTTACACACAAAGCTGGGTTATCTGTGCTCTGTCCATTATAGGACTGAACCCTAATTTTTAGATCTAAGCACTTAGGTACCACTGAACCACTGTGTGGCAAGGTTTTATATAGTATGATGAGCAAACCAAATAATTCTACTTCGTGATCACATTTCAAGCAATTTTTCAATAAAAAAGTAGGGTATATTTATTTCAGGTTTTGAGTTTCAGCAAAAAATTAACTTTGTAAAGGAAAATATCAACTTATGCTTAGTGGTTTATTCTTTCAATGTAGTAAAAAATTATCAAGTATAAATTTTTAAAAAATGAGCATTTTAATTTTTTTTTTTCATAGAATGTAAAGCAAAATATGACAGAATATGAAGTGCTACTTTACAGGCAGAAAAGGATTAAAAATACAAATTATTACTTAATTCAGTGGTGCAGCATCAGATAATATATAAATGTGCAACAATATAAATTTTTCTAACAATTAAAAAATTAGATAGCAACAATTATCAAAAATTAGTTTTGTGTTAAATATTCTTCATTTTTAGAACACAAAATTTAATCAAGGTTACTAATATTTTACTATACTAAAATTGTAGTTGTATTTGTTGTCAAGCATAAAGCTACACAACGGGCTACCTGTGTTGTGCTCAGTGATTATCAAAGCCTGATATTTGGTGCTTTAAGCCCTCAGACTTACTGCTGAGTCATTGGAGGATTAGTTATGTTTAATACTTTAATTTTTTTCTAGAATCAATAATAAACTTATTTCATAAATTCAATTTTTTTCTTATTGAATAAAAATTTCTGAACAGAAATCCAGTGTTTTACTCACATCCTTTCTGCTCTGTAAACCAATTTTTAAAAGGTAATCAAGCATTGCTATAAAAATTCACGAATAACTTAGCACAATATCTGTTTTACACAAAATAAATGATAGATTATATGTAACATAATTTATCTAGACAAACAGCTCTTTACAAATTTCATTATTTATAATCCCTTCACCAGCTGCCAGATTGAGAAGAAACACTTAATTCATTATCAACATCATAGTATTTTGAAGCACATTCAACCTATAGTGAAAACATTAAAATGAGCAGCCACTTTAAACTGGAGACTGTTTAGATTCATAATTTGAAGACATTTAAGTCATATTGTATATTAAACCCAGTTTGTATTAAAACATGAAAATAAAAATAAAATTCAAATAAATACTTATTTATACTATGATCTTAAGCCAACGAATCCTAACTTGTGCCAAAAAATAAATCTAATTTCTCCAATTCCAACTCATTCCACCCCCTCTCTATAATTCTGCAAAAAAAATTGTTCTTAAGCAAAATATCTACATATATGATGATGGCCCTTTATAATCGTATTCAAAGCCAAACACTGTTTATCATATCATAGTTCCTTTACCTGGGCTTTACACCTCAATAGCTTAATACTTGGAATTGTTTCTTTTTCCTTTCTTTATAACCCCTTTCTGCTAGTTTGGTTGTAGAAAAGGTAAACATCTGTTTTGAACTTCATTTTAATTGCAAAATATTAATTTTTAATGTGATATTATATTTTTAATATAACCTCAAGACAGAATATCCAGATTTAAAGGAAGGGAGTGACAAGAAGAAGAAAAGCTTGAGTCTCCTGCAGCGGGGGAACTGTACTTCTGCCAGTATCTGAGCAACAAAAAAATACATCATAAAAAGGTGATTTGTAGCTCTTGGGAAAATGATGCTAATCTCATAGGAAATATATGGGGCTACCATTCCTGGCCCCATGACAAAATACTGGAAGGTCAGTGAACCCTTGTGAAGGATTATCCCCAATACCTGTCACACAGTCATCACAAAAGTGGAGTATGTTCAATATAAACAATCTTCCCAGTGAGTACAGTTATGACAGCCATCTTCACCAGCTGATTGAAAATATACATCCTATTACTGAAGCTGATGCAACAATGAAATGGAATTCCATGTTTGAAAGTATCCAGGGAATACCTGTCAGCTCCCGTCTCATTAACTGAGTAACTAAACCAAGGCAACAGATTGAAAATTAACACCCAAACTCAAATGACAGACAAAGAATTCATACACTCAAACAAGATAAA